GTACAGATGTAAACATACTGCTGCTAATGTACAGATGTAAACATACTGCTGCTAACATGTACAGATGTAAACATACTGCTGCTAACATGTACAGATGTAAACATACTGCTGCTAATGTACAGATGTAAACATACTGCTGCTAATGTACAGATGTAAACATAATGCTGCTAATGTACAGATGTAAACATACTGCTGCTAACATGTACAGATGTAAACATACTGCTGCTAATGTACAGATGTAAACATACTGCTGCTAGTGTACAGATGTAAACATAAAGCTGCTAATGTGCAGATGTAAACATACTGCTGCTAACATGTACAGATGTAAACATACTGCTGCTAACATGTACAGATGCTAACATAACTAGACTTTGCTTGCACTAGAATACACACTACGTTATACTTGCTTCTTATTTTGCCAAATGTTAAACTTTTACACCTCTTTTATTGATGCTAGCGATAGAGATTTTATTTTATTTTAATTAGTACAGCTATTGTTCACTTATCTTGTGCTGTGTGCTCCTCTTTCCTACTGTTCTATAACTTGTGATGCAGCACTGAAATTTCCCCACTGTGGGATGAATAAAGGATCTCTTAATCTTAATCCTAATCCTAATTTATATTTTTCAGCAGCAGCCAAGACACCGCTGCTGAGTCCACCATATTTAGCACCTCTGCCGGTATGTGCCAATTACTTAACCTTGTTCATAGACTTTTTATCTCTTAATCAGATACAGATTTAAGTAACAGGACAGACATTTTGGCTCATATGAAAAACAAAATCGCGTCTAGTCTGCCGATTTGAGCAGGGCTTTGTGGCACATGCTGGAATCCTTCAGTTCTATTATTATGACTTTGTGTTTGTGTTTATTGCATTTATTTGGATCTCCAATTTCATTTCAAACACTTCTTCCTGGAGTGATAAAAAGTTCCTTCACAAAAATACATGACAATAATAATCTTGTACTCGATGTTTTGAGATCCATTATGAGAAATTTCCCCCAAAACTGTTTACTTTTCCACTAGAGGTATTCAAAATAAGTAATTGATAAAGGGCTTTTTTCAACCATTATTCACTTTTACTGAGTGCTAAAACCGATATGGATCACATAAAATACTGTAAAAACAGTTTGTTGAAACGCTTCCAAAACCTAATTGCTGACAGTAAACAGAATGTTTCTATGGTATACTTCCGGCCAGCAACAGTTCAGAACCAGTCCAGGACCAGTTCAGGACCAGCACCATGTAAAAGGTTCTCTTGAAGCTATAGAACATTGGTTACCAAGCGACAGAAAATGGTTGAACTTGAATTTTTGAAGTTAAAGGTCGAACGCCACTCATTTAAAAAATAAATAAATAAATAAAATAATGCCAGAGAAATAAAGTTCATATACTGTAGATACAGAAAAAGTCACACAGTTATGCAGACCAAAAAGGTGCATTCACAGAGTACACTTTAACTCTAAAACTAAAAGCCGTCAAATTAACTGCTCTGGGAGTCGTTGAGAAAAAGTTGTGAGTTGTGTTGAGAAAAAAATGTGCTCAGCAAACAGTGTCCGGGTGTGGACTGTTGCCGGTGACACTCCAAAAAAGTATTTTCATTTTTAAGTGTAAATGCCCAAATGCATTTGAGGGTGCTTATATGTTTAAAAAGTGATAATGTCAAGTTTTTTTTGCATTTAAGGATTTGAGTAACCACAGAAAATGGGCTGCCTTGTCCTATAATTGTGAGGTAAGGCTGTATAACGATAATATTGATAATCACACCATTATTTACATCACGACTGGTGAGAATAGGATTTTGTAGAAATGTGTCCAAGACAAAAGGCCAAAGCAAAGTCACTCAGAATGGAACATCTTCATAAGACGAATTTACACTTTCCCATCTCGTGATTTAAGATCCGTCCCAGTCACAAAACCAGTAAGAGTTAAGAAAATATGAAGACAACTTATGATTTTAATAAAAGTGATTATTTGACAACTATTTTAATAATCCGATTGTGACTAATAGCCCTTTTGTGAATCGCTGTATGTTATCATAAGTTTTTTATATAACCTGCACATTTAAAAAACCTAAAAGAAAATTAACATTTGTACAAAAAGTAGCATTCTTTTAGGACCCATAGTTGACTTTGTCCCATCTCGCCGTGATTCAACTTGTATTTTTTTTAATACAACCTTTTCTCTGTATCAGTTTGCGATGATAGAAAAACAAGGATTATCAATTTTATCGAAACTGCACTAAACTCAAATACTGTATATTTGCTTCCTTCTGGTTTTACTGTGGAAATGACAGAGTCTGGCGTGGATTTCATGTATTGATCTTTATTGACTCACAGTGGATTAGTATCTGACAACAAATCGTACACACGGCCTTTGAGACAGCTCCAATCTGTCCGACCTCTCGCTGTCAAACACAACATAACAGAGAATAACTAATAACACTGACATTTCTTTGACATACATGTGTGTGCTTGTGCTATATGAAAAGTTTATTAAAAGTAGTGCTCTTTACCTAATATAACATGCGCAAATTCTATATGGACCAAAAAGCTATAATAATAATTATGTATAGATTCAAGGTTAGTTAAGTTGCAAAATGGAAGATTATATATTTTATCTATAAGACATAATGGCAAAGAATAAATACTTAAGGATCAGGGCCAGTAATGCTGCAATTGTCATAAACATTAGCTGTTAATACACTTTGAAATTATAAAGCCATAACATGTATTTGAAAATGAAATGTAAGGAGGCACCATAATGGTCTTGTCAGCCTTGGCCATTGTTCTGTTCCTTTTGCGCCTCATGGAAATTGAACCTCAGACCTGTCACACGCACATGGAGTTATACAGTCTGCAACCTCGGTGACGTGCACGCGCCGATCAATGCGGTGGCATCAGTGTTACGGACAGCATCAGGAGACATCAGGAGACATCAGCAGGCATCAGCGCGGGGATGAGAACCACGTCCCCCCCTGCGTGCGCCCTGCATGAGCTCCACGGCCCCAAGACCATCGATCCACTGCCGCTGTCTGACCTCTGCGCGCTCACGTCCATGTGCCGTTCATATTAGTATATATTAGTATGTATCAGTATATATTAGTGTTTATCAGCATATATAAGGGAAGAGTTGGAGTTGGAGAGGGAGTCTGGCCTCAGTCCCAGCTCCATCTCCAGCTGTATCCCGGTTCTGAGAGAGAGTATGAGAGCAGTGCGCCTCGCTCTGTCGCCGCCTGCTGCTCACTCTGTGCCTCATGTTCAATGTTCGCAACACGGAACATTTGTATTTTTGTAGATGTAAATACAGATGTAAGTGTAAATACACCAATATCGCAGATAGCAAATAAATAGTAAAAATATAGAATTAAACAGGAATTGTGAGTTTGTTTTGTTCTTAATCAGATAACTTTAACATGGTAAAAAGAGAGGGGGAAAAAAATCCCTGAAAACTAAAACATAGAAATAATGAGAAAAATCCACAGTTAGTTTTAGTTCTACTAAATGTAACAGAAATTAATGTGCAATTTATTTTGAATGTTAACATAAAGAAAACGTGCCTTTCAAAAGACGTGTTTTATGGAACTATTCTGATCTTCTAAAAGGAATGATGTAAACACATGACCAATTAAGGCCTTTGAATATATAAATACATACACACATTTAAATACACATTCTCTGCATTTTAAGAGCTGACGTGACATTGTTGCTTGAGTTTGTCATTATTTATTGCCGGATATTTAACAATAACATCTAATTAAAGCATGAAGAAAATAAAATAAGAAAGGTCAGTAATTTGATTTTCTATAAATCTGTGAGGCATCTTACAGTACAGCGTCTGCTGGAATCTTCTCTCCGCTCCTCGCCGTCTTCATTGAATCTGGAGAGAAAAGAAAAGCAACGAAAACAAAGCAGAAACAATCTTCCTCTGCACACGCACCTCTCCTCGCGATTCTGATCCCGCGCCGCTGTCTCCCGTGTCCTGGAGCAGAGCGCCTTTTCTTACCTTTGAAACGCTCATTAGCGCCTCATAATGACTTTACTAATTATGGATGACACGGTTATTAACAAGACGCGCCGTCACCCGCCCGCCCCAAACATGACGACCCCTGGATCTGAGGATGCAGTCAAAGACAAGTGTCCCATGGAGCAAACATCAGGCTCAAAAACAATTACCTTCAGCAATAATACAAAAATCGATGCAAAAATTACTGTCAGCGCTTTTTGCCAGGCTCTTTTTGCGTGACGCACTCAGAATCTGGAAAATATCGTGAACTGCGTGGAACTTAACGAACCCAAAATTAGACCTATATAAATACCAATATTTTGATATCATTTTCTGCTAATTATTTAAAGAAGAAAACTGTCTCTAATGTTTGTTGCATAGCCTCAAAGCACACGTCTTCCTGGTTTAAAGTGCTGTGCACTTGCTTCCATTCAGTTGAATGGCTGCCTCTTGTCTAGATAAAGAAACAACTCTGTGATTGGCCAAGGGCATTAGCCGGTCAGAGACGAGGGGCCAATGAGAGAAGAGCATGTGCTGAAGGAGATGGGGGCTGGATAGAAAAAGGCGTCTCGTGTTTATTATAAAGGAGAAAATATTAATTCCCCCTCGCCGTGGGCCGTGACGTCAGTATAGGAAGTCATTGTAGAGCAACACCAGAGCGATTAGCAGCAAAAAGGGGGAGGCCGATGTCTAGGAGTCAGCCCCTGTATATCTCTGTATACAGCTCAACTTTTAACACAAAGTTCAATATCCAAAGAGCGGAGCACCAGGACGCATCAGCATTTTCGCATCTTCCCTGAATGTAACACGGAGCGGAGTGGCCAGTGCTGTGCGTAAACGTGGATTTTCCTTATTTTCCGTCTGGGTTTATTTGCAACAATTTTGAGAATTTTGATTGAAAGTTTTTTTTTTTTTTTTTCTCTATACCGCTAATTTCTTTGGATCATTCTTGCGTCGCTGCTGTTATGAAGACCTCACTCACCTCGCAGTGAAACATGGAAGCGTCCAGCGGCTCCAGTTTTGGAATAGACACTATTTTATCCCACGCGTCTAACTCTGCCGTGCTGATGAACGGAGACTTTCGCCTGAGCGACAGGAGCGCGGACTTTCGCCAACAGCAGACCCCGTCCCCATGCTCGGACATAGACACTGTGGGCACCGGCCCTTCGTCCCCCATCTCCGTCACCATGGAGTCCCCAGACGCGCTCTCACAGCACCTCCACCACCATCACCACAACAGCCACGGGCCCGCCCCAGGGCTGCCGCTCTCCCCACAACCCCAGCTCCAACAGCCGCTCAACGGGGCCCCCAGGACTGCCACCTCCTCCTTCCTCATTAAAGACATTCTGGGAGACAGCAAACCGCTGGCTGCGTGTGCGCCCTACAGCACCAGTGTGTCCTCCCCGCATCACACCCCCAAAGCCGAATGTGCCACGGCCCAGGACGCCTTCAGGCCCAAGCTGGAGCAGGATGACAACCGCAAGTTACTGGACAAGAGAGACGAGCTGCAGGGCGAGCTCAAGTGCAACGGTACGTCTCTGTTCATGCTGTCCTCTAAACAGTGTGTGTTTACATTGTATCGCCAAGTAATGTTCAGACTAATTAGTAAATACGAATATATCTATGCAAATAATGTTAACGTGATTTGTGCAAATTAGTTTAAATATATTTAATATTTAATACATTTTCTAAATTTCCAATATTCAAACATTACATAAAACAAACACTAACAATAATCCTGAGAAGAGACAGTAACTAATCGTATAATACAATAAATAATCTGCGTTACTTTATTAGCAGAGCGCTTGTAAGCCTTGTCAGCCTTCGTGTTCCCGGGTGTGGGCCTCCCTCGTGGGTCAATTAGAGAGATTATAGTTCCTTCTGGAGGGGATCATGGCTCGCAGAAAACAGCAAAAACTCAGATGGACTGACACAGGCATATAGATTTTTCCCATCTCAGGACAATAAAAATATGAGCTGACAGCGTGTGTTTGCTTTTATTGAGTTGTTTTTCCTGCGTGTGAAGAATAGTATTGCGTCAAAATGTCAAAAATCAATAATAAGCTTGATGTAATTTCGTTTTAAATATCCTTCATATTTGTATTTACATGTATTTAAATTGTAAGTTTTCCGTGATTAACGCTGTGTGTTGTGTCCTGCAGAAGAGGGAGACCGGGAGATCTCCAGCAGCAGAGACAGTCCACCTTCGCGCTCCAAAAAGCCCCGAAAAGCACGCACCGCCTTCACCGACCACCAGCTCAACCAACTGGAGCGCAGCTTTGAGCGGCAGAAATACCTCAGCGTCCAGGACCGTATGGACCTGGCTGCTGCACTCAACCTGACCGACACACAAGTCAAGACCTGGTACCAGAACAGACGGTGAGTCTATGCCCTTTCCACTTCTCATTGAAATAACATATTGTAGAAAAACCAACAAACACATGATTAGGCTGTTGGGCTTTGTGATGGCAAATGCGGATTGCCAGAGTGTGTGAACAATATACAGCTGTATGTGTGTGTGTGTGTGTGTGTGTGTGTGTGTGTGTGTAGGATGTAGAGCTAGGATAGACACGTGTTGTGCTGAATATTCCTGAATAATGTGTACCGCAGCCGCTGTTGTGGCGCAGATGAAAGCCTTGTTATGGCTCAGGATGTGGGTTAATGAATGCTCAGCTTGCTGTGCAGGTATGGCGCTCACAAGTACAAGTGAAGCGGGTTCAGACTTGTGCTGATCGTCCTCTTTGGCCAATTAAAGCGCGCTGCTGCCATAATTAGCGCGTGCATACTAATGGAGTCGGCGTGTGGGGAATGTCAATAATTGATGTGTTGTATTTTGATCTGATTTCAGGACCAAGTGGAAGAGGCAAACGGCGGTGGGATTGGAGCTGCTGGCGGAGGCGGGGAACTACTCGGCCTTACAGAGGATGTTCCCTTCGCCCTACTTCTACCACCCCAGCCTGCTGGGCTCCGTGGACAGCACCACGGCCGCTGCTGCCGCTGCCGCCATGTACAACAGCATGTACCGGACTCCTTCCGCTCCACACCCCGGTCTGCAGAGACCTCTGGTCCCCCGGGTGCTCATACACGGCTTAGGCCCGGGCGGGCAGCCGGCTCTGAACCCTCTATCTAACCCTATGAACGGCACGCCGCACCCGCGGTAGAACTCAGCTTTGGACGCTAAGCAGCGCACTTTGGAAACGCGAAGGATGCAGGACTGTACCGCAGAGACTGTAAAGGAGGTACTCGCAGCCGACCGGGCCTGGACACAGAGGACTGCAGTCTGATTGTCTGTTTGTTTGTCTTTTGTACAAATCCACTTACATTAGAATAAACTTACAAAGTTTATTAGATGGACAAGATCGGAATGAATAAAGAGGAGATGATACTAATTTAACACGGCGTCTGTGCAATTCAGTCCAAATTCATTTTTAGCAGATCTTTTTCTTTTTAAATAAAATGTAAAATAAATAAATAATATTAAATAAATATACCAAAATAATAAAACTCAAATCCTGCTGTGGATTCTACATGAGTGTACCGAGCAGGCCTCTCTGGAGACTCGTGTCCCTCTGTGTTGAATATGATCTGTGCCTTATGGCCTCGTGCTCATGAATAGTCTATCAATAAAAACAGTAGCATACAAAATATTGTCTTAAAATATTTAATCCAAAGTATCTGTAGGTCAATAATAGTGCGAGGGCTTTTTTTTACGCTCTGGTCTGAGGGGACGCGCGGGACTCAGCAGGTGACCGTGTCCAAGATGATGGAAGAGCCGGACTCTGGGAACCTGGCCTCGGCTCTGCAGCTGCTGGAACTCAGGGCGCACTGTCTCTGATGCGCAGACAAAAGTGCAGATTGTGTAACGGTCTCGTACCAACAAGAAACTCAGCCACAGATTCGCCGCGCCGAGTGTTGACACAGCATCTTTATTTATTGTCTAAATTATTATTTTTATAGTGTGTGTCTGCGAATGGCGTTTGCAACACTCTCTCCTGTATTTACACAAATCGGCCTTAGAGCAGTTTATTGGGACGTGCCCTGGAGACTGTGCCGTGCGTAAACGCCTCGGGGCCAGTTTGTTTGGGTTCCTTCACTTTGAACCCATTACTTATTAGAGTCAGCCCAATTGACCTCTGCTCTCCGTGATGAGACAGTGCAGACCTTTGGCTCCAGCGCTCATAAACACCATTCACTTTCACCTTCACATTTTTAAACGGGAAAAGCTCCAGCAATTACAGCATTATTGTTTTTTTTGTTTTTTTTTTTTAAGATTAACAACGCGACCTCGTTCACACGCGTGGTTCATGTGCACAAGTGGACAGTAACAGTTTCAATACAATTCAATTCTACTTTAATTTTGTATTGCCCCTAAATCACTACAACAGAGGACTTTACAAAGTTACCGACTCCTCAACAACAGATCAGAGATACAGTTAAACATTTAAACTCACACGAACTTGTGCTTAGTAATATACTTCTTGTTTTCACCTAAATTTAGTCTATTAGCTTTTGCGTGAATATTTTTAATGTATTTTTTAGACCTATTTTTAGCCTAATATTTTAGCCGAAACAATAATTTTAGTTATCATCACACTTCAATCAGTGACGTAAATTTTGTATGATATATAATTAACAAAATGCAACAACGCTTTCCCTTACATGCCTCACGTATTTTGCATTATAGTTCAATTATTGCAGAACTATAGAGACGCAAATCTGACGCATTTGGGCCTTGTTCTGACGTGCATATACCACGTCTCTATACATTTTTGGACGCGGACCATATTGTGACTCGGTGAGAGAAATATTCGTTCAGCATATTGACCTGCAGCTTGTGGCCATTACCGCAGTGGGTTAGCGGCGGACGCATGTAGTTCATATGCATGACTTGTGCGACATTATTTATTTATCACGGCTCTGCGGGTGGAAGAGAGAGAGGGTTGGGAGGGCGAGTAGGAGGGTGAGGAAGAGAGATATAGGGGGGGAGGAAGGCGGTTCTGCCGGCTCTTCCAATTCATTAATAATGGGCCCAGCCATAAGCATAAGCAGCAGTGAATTAATAAGGCTCTATACCTGCCTCATTGGACTAACGCTTTTAGGGTTTTACGCAAATGGATTGGAACAGCAGCTGCGTATAAGGCCACGCAAGTGTGACGTCGGTGAAGCTGGACGCGGCGCGACAGTGATAATCATGGCGTTCGTCTATTTATTGGGAATTGAATTATTAAGGCTGTTATTGTTAACCCGAGTGCGAAGTGTATAGCAGCTTAATTGTTTTTTTCTTTCTTTTATTTATTTATTCTCGTTTTGTAGCGCGCAAACATTGGGGTTAAAACAGATATTATGGTTAAACAACTTTATATGAGGATTTTCTGCTGTATTTATGAATAAGCTGATTTGACGGAAGAAAAGAACACATCAAGAAATAGCTAAATGTGTGTATATGTTTTATTATTATAACACATCAGCTTTAAATTAAGTGATGATTGTTAGATGGAAAAATATTGTTTTAGAAATTAATGGTTTATATTGGCAACTAGGCTATATATGCTGTTCTACACAGGAATATACATAGTTTATCACATTACTGGATGTAAAAAAACAAAAAAGTCTATAACCTAATTGGAATCATTCATCTCATCTTTAAAGGAACATTATCTTTAAAAAGTGCTGAAATATGAATAATACTAACTACAATATTACCAAAGCAAAGCATCTTGCATAATAAGAGTCTGTGGTTATAGCAAATCTAAAACACACACAAGTCATGTCAGAAGTAATGCAATGGTGTCAAACTATACAAAATATAATGTGGAGCTTATATCTTATTTGCAATCGCCTGAATCGGCCAAAAGATGAGCAGCTCCTCCTCGACACAAAGCGCAGAGGAAAGGGCAGCAGACTGAATAAAGAGGATTAGGCCTTTTTCTTTTTACACCACGCACATTATCCACAACAGATGGGCTTTTGGAGAGTCCTCTGCCTCTCGCCTGGAGGAACCTGCTTGGGCACTTTAATTGCCACTTTTTTCCTCCTGATGTAATGCTGGGATATCTGTTTCATTACAATAATGAGCTAACACTTGCTCTCCTTGGCCTCTCATTATCACATCTCCTACATCACTCACTAAACATGATTTTAAGCCCAAACCACCAGCCGTTTCCAAAATCTCCCAAGTTCTCAGATGGATCCTGGACAGTGTGAGCCGCAGCTGCTGCCTCCCACTGCTGGGGCCTGACTGTGTGTGTGTGTGTGTGTGTGTCTGGCCACACGTTACAACACTGCTTTGCACTGCCGCCTGTAGAATGTGAAGACTAAAGACAGATATTAAAACATTGCCTTTTAAATCAAGAAGAAAGGGAATTCGGTGCTATACTGAAATTCGGTGTTAGATTTTTTGCAGGCGAAATCCAATCTATCACAACTTCTGTATTTCTATGATCTGTCGTCTGACCTAATATCCTTCTCCTTTATCCTCTGTTATTATACAAAGGATAAAAAAAAAGAGAAACAGCTGAGTCACTTCTAAAACATTGAATACAACCCCTTAATTTATAGTTAAGTTTAAGAGATCCTTTTTTCGACCCACAGTGGGGAAAATCCAGTGTTGCGTCACAAGTTACAAACAGTAGGGATGAGGAGCACACAAGATAAAAGAAAAATAACGCTATAGTAAAATAAAATAAAATAAAATCTCTAACTTTATAGCATAAAAAGAAGCAGTGTAAAAACTCTCTCATTTCATATAATTCATTTCAACTTCCTGCTGATTTACAGAATAACAATACAATAAGGCTTTTTTTAGGTCCATCCATGACCCTTTCGACCGGTTAAATTATTGAAGGCAATACAATCTGGATCGAGGGTTGAACATTTGTTAAAACCCTAACCTGAACCCTAGATGTCGGGTCTCTCTCTTTATAACTGAAAAAAGAATTTATCCATGGGTACTAATAAAGTCACCTTTAACCTTGAACCCTGATGAGGCCAATAGCTACGTGCTATATTTGTGCCATTTCCAGTTTGAGATCGGAGCTACACACGTCTTAAGTTCAACACAAGTCAATGACAACTACATCCATAGTGTGATCTGTGGTTGTTGATGGAGAGCTCCTAAAAAGACATATAAACATTTATTTTGTATTGGCAAAAATAATCTGTATAAGTCGATACATCTTATACGCAGTTTTCAATTGAAAGTATTTTTGTATACGCCTTAATCACAACAACAGGTGTCTCGGAGAACTATAGAAAGTTGACAATACCTCAACAACAGATCAGAGAACCAAACAGTTTGAACACAGAAATTCAATAATAACAAAAAGCCATTGGAACATAGGGAGCGGGATGATCAATGTCCATGCATGTCCTTAAATCAAAGACTCCATATGCTTTGGTCAGCTACAGAGTTATAATCAATGACATACAGTATGGCCCGTCATATTATGGACATTTAAAAATAACACATTTATTTTTGAATTTCCAGGAGAAAACAGAATTTCTGATTTCCCCCTATCCTTTCAACACTGCTTTCAATCCTACAGTAAAGAAAAACTACAAAACAGTGCTTGGGTCTAAGGGAACATATTGTAAGGAAGTAATCTTTATTTATATAGCGCCTTTCACAGACCAGAGTCACAAAGCGCTTTACAGTTGTTGTGGGCATTTGTCTCTCACTCTGCATGTGGGAGCGGGGTCGCCATTCAGGAGGCGCATGCCAGACCTATTGTATACGTTTTTATAATACAATACAATACAATTTATTCTTGTATAGCCCTAAATCACAACAGAAGTCATCTCAGGTAGGGTAGGGGTGGTAGGGGAAACTGGAGCACCTGAAGGAAACCTATGCAGACATGAGGAGAACATGCAAACTCCACACAGTCTGTAGAAATATTTAGATAGATTGAATAACTCAACTTTTCTTCATAAGGTCCAGTCATTCAGCCACGCTCACCTTTATGCATCTACCACAAACTCAAGCTTGGGGCTTCTATAAAGCCCCGATGTGGCTGCAGGTTTTCACTCCAACCAAGCAGGAGCACACACTCAACTCCACCCTTTCCTTCAGGTTAAGGTTCAGACTGGGCTTACATGAGGAAATGAGTGGTTGTGATGAAAACCTGCAGCAACATAGGCCCTTTAAGGACCGGTTTGACAC